AAATTACGTGTCCAAATGCGCAGCGGAGAATGAGACAACTACATGGGGAAAATAAATTTCCCCTGAAAAAGTAAATTTTCGGCTTTTACCAGAAAAGACATAGGCTGTCCCGGAAAATCCGCGAAAAGCCGGCCAAGAAGTCACCAAAAAGAAAAAGGAGGTGTATCTTGCCTTGAAAGACAGATACACAGTTGATGTGCTGCCATTTTGAACTTGGGGTACAAGGACCGGTGTTTTACTGGTACATCCCGAAGTGAGGAAGAGTGGTTCAATCCCCTCCCGGTCCAGAACAATTTTCGGAGAAAGGACTCCGTTCGCGGCTAGCAGTCTATGAGGAAAAAATGCAGCTGATGAACTAGACATGTTATAGTGAAGGCTGCATCCGGTGAATTCCCACCGAATTAGCGAAAGTACTTCGATCCAAAAAAATGTCTTTAGGTAGAAGGAGATGCTAGAAACACAAAACGAGTGCTAAAATGGTTTTTTTAAAGCTTTAACGAAGCTTTGCAGAATTAGATCTCTGTCACTTCTTAATTTGCTTTCTAGTGCGATCAAGCACAAAACTTGTCTTGAAAGCAAGTTTATTTCCCCATGAAAGCAATAAATGCGGCGTTTTATAGCTCTGTAAAAACCTCTCGATACCCGATTTAAATGCGTCTCTTTGATGTGAAACGCTATGGAAAACTTCCAGCATTATTTTTCAACTTATCTGTTTTTGTGTGGAAGTATATCAGTAATATTACTAACATAGGATACCCACACCGATTATCCAGGCGGTCTTGTAATTATTTTTATTCAGTTACACCCCTGGACAGGGGGTACCTAGAGATGCTTTAGCCATTTTTATTTAAGATGAATTTTCAAAAATATTTTTGAAGATTTATAAAACATTCCTTCCGAAGTTGATGTTTAAAGGACATGGAGTCCTGACGCTATTTCAAGAATATAATCTCAAAATATTAAAAATAAGAACAGTGATGTAGTAACGGTAGAAGATAAGGTCATAAAGAATATAAGCTTGTAGTAAAACTAAATAATCCGAATGAAGGAACTTGGAATAACTAATTGGTGGTAGTTTGTGGCCTAGTTCTTAAACTATATATCTGGCATCCCATTCAGCTGTTCTGACTAATTCTACAGTGGTTGACAGTGAGCCTGCTGTCGACCCTAACGTTCGTCTCGCCTTCTGGAAAGATTACATTTCAACGGTTTATCCGTCAGAAATGTGGTAAACTTCTAAGCAAGTGCTATAATTTACGCAGGGTGATTTGCTCCCATAACCAAAATCGCTGGGAAAATTAACAGACGGAAAGTAATGTCGAGAACATTCAGAAGGTATAATTGGGAAAGTTTTGTTGAGAAAGAAAGCCGAAAAACTACAGTCGGGAAGTAATGTGGAGAAGAATACTTTTGTCAGGATATCTACAGACAAAAAAGTCCCGAATAACTCCGGAACAACTCAACCGTTCATGAAACAAACTCAGGCAAAACTCTATACAATTCGCCAGTCCACTTGATCAAAAAGGTGTTGCAGTCCTTCATCATTTAAGATTTCCTTGCAAAATTCTGCTGCTAAGTTGGCAAAAATAACGCAATAATGAAAAGGGGCAAAGACGCGAAGAGCGAGATAGTGGAGCTTCGCGGAGATGTTCTGAATATGTACTTCTCTTCAAGAGGTGCGTGGCAAGGCCTTATTCGTTCCGGAATTCACTGGTGTATATTGAGTTTCATCGTCTCGTTTTGGGCTTTGCCAGTTGTGGCTTACAGTAAGGCATCTTACGATCGAGAAGCAGAAAAGTCATAAAAAGGGTTAAACTGCAAGTACACACATTTTTTTTCAGATGTACTGTTTCAGCAGCGTTGATAAAGAAAATGTTTTAGAATCCAGGAACTGGTTTCAAGCGCCGTATTGTACACATTCAAATTGTCCTGGCCGTTTATTTAACATGGATTTCATTGATAGCGATTTATGTGATTAATTTTGTACCGGATGCAACCTTCAAAAAATCAATTTTCATTGCCGTATTTAGCGCACTTACCATACAGGTCATTTATTTCTTTGGTACTTTAATCAAATGCAATTTATTACTCAATTTTCTTAACCTAGTGCAGCTGGATAACTTTTCCAGTTGTTTTTACAAATTCTACACTGCCAGGTGGTCAGCCTGCTGGCGATTCTGACTTCGTGTCGTTTCCTAAAGGAATTGTTCCGTCTCCAGCTTAACGGTTTCTTCGTTTGAAGCGTATGTTAAATATTAAACCGTTTTGAGGCGTGACTGGTGTTCCTTCTTGGCTCAAATTTGCTTACAAAAGGCGTTTTATCTATTACAGATGGTATTGGTACCTGCAACCACTCTGGCTAGTTCAGAGCAGCCTCGCACATAAAGGGAGAGTGCAGGGACAGCAGATTACCAGACTTTAAATGTACTGTTTTATTTTCAGAACAAGAGGCTGAGAATTTAGAACGAAAATGTAATAATCGAGACCAACTTTTTAAAAAATTCTTTTTCAAACAAATCTAAGCATTTATTTTTGAAAAAGTTGAAATATCAACTGGACTGTGTATGAATGCTGCACTGACAGACCAGTGATGAATGCGGGAAAGCTAAGTGCACACAAACGTCCATTTGCAGAAAGCTGTCATGCAGTGAACTCACTCAGCCCACTTCAGCGTCGTTATTTATGTCAAAGAGTAACTATGCGAATATTTCAGACACCCTATCAGACGCTTCTCGGGCCAACACAAATGCTTGTCCTCTTACTAACGATTTTGCTAGCTGCAGCCGTCAAAATGCTACTTATATTTTTGCTGGTATCGTTGTATGAAGGACACAGCAAGGCGGCGCGCACAAGTAAAGTGAACGATTGCAGCAGCAATACGGAGCAAACAAAATTCGACGCAGTGGTCCACCTGTCCGGCGAAACAAAACTTGCCGAATGACCCCCTTTTCGTCCATCGATTAGCAAACATAATTTTTAATGCATTTTTGCTGTGCGGCGCTAAAGCGGTGCTACAGTGGGCAAAAACACATAGAGGCCGTCTATATGTGTGTGTATTCGGAAGCGAATGAACTTTGTCACCCACTTTCATTAGCAACCAGAAAAGTTGGATGGCTGAAATTTTGTTGGTGGATTTCTACCCCACGTGTCACTCTCTCGTTTTAAATCATCGCTCATACGCGTCTTAATCTCGCGTGCGGACTCTCGAAAAAGTAATGCAAATTTCTTTGGTGGGAAACGATTTCGTTTGACCTAAATAAGGTAGAAGGCTGGAACTTTGCACTGATATTCATGTGCATGTATGAACCAAACTTTTCATATTCGGCTGCCGCACATGCTTATGCCCCGTATGCAGTCACGTCAAAATACACGGCTGGCGCTATGCCAACTCGAATAATAGCCGGAAACAGTAGCTGAAATTTTGTCAGAATATTTGTTGTTCATATGAAAAATCGTATGCCTAAACTGAGTTTCGACTTGTACCTGGGTCACGACCTACGGCGGTTCAAAGATGAGCAAAATGGCTATTTCGCTCATCAAGCTAGGAGGCTGAAGTTTTGCAAAGATATTCTATATCCAGTTATGGCCTTAACTCAGCTTAGAGGTAAAATTCTCTGCACGCAGACGTGATAAATATTCAATTTTATGACAAATTCAAAAGCGAATGCATTTTGGGGATTTCGTAATCTTCTTCCGATTTCACTCGAATACGCATTTTTTTTTCACTGTTCGCCGAAAAAGTGACTGTGCTTCATGCAAAAAATTGATAATCATGCACGCTAGAGATTCACTTGGCCTCATAATGCAAAAGCTTCATCTCGCCGGCGCCCTTTCCCTCTGTGCGCGGAAAGAGGCCAAAACACTGCCAATATAAGTCCAATTGTGCAACTATAGCGCAGAAACCATTCCTGCTGTTGAGGATCTGCAACTTTGGCGCAAATACGCGTGATCGCACCAACAAACCTGCTGCACTGTAGCCTGTGTTTGTTTCGTATTTGTACATTCCTTAGCGAGCCAATCAATTTTCGGCTTACTTCTGAGCAGCCCTCGAAAAAAGAAGCCGCCATGAACCTTGCCAGCGAGTAGTTGTTGTTGGCAATTTCAAA